CCTGGGCATCTGGGCCTGGAACCATTGGATGAGTCACCTAGGATGAGGGGGGGCCCCGGGGATGGGGGAGGGGAAGGGGGCCCCTTGACATCTGGAGGGGGGAGGGGAGCTGGCCCACAGGAAGGGCGGGGCCCAGACCCCACAGGGATAGACAAAGAGCAGGGGGTGAACCTGGGGCCTGGGAGGGGGCAGCGTGAAGCTGGCTCTTCCTGAGAACCCCTCCCGGGGGGCTGGGTTCTCTATGGCCACAGTGTTTGCCTTCTCTGGGTGTGAGGAGGGCCTGTGTGCAGGTGACGTTGGTGAGGAGAGAGGGCCCTGGCTGTGGCCTCTGCCTCAGGTCTGGCCTCCTGGCTTGGGAAGCTGTCCAGCCTCATATTTTCAGCTCTGGGTAGGGGTGTCTCCCTACTCACAGCCCCCCACACTCCTGTCCTCAGGAAGCTGAGAAAGAAGAGGCTTACATTTTCCTGTTCTCCCTTTAAACCCTCCTCGGGACTTTCTTACCACCCCCAGCCCCACCCCAACCCAACCGCATACCCCAACTCAAATTCCTACTGAAGTTGTATGCAGAGCAATCCAGGGCTCTTTTTGCTTCCCTCTCTCTTTCCAGACCCCTTCCTACGCAAAGGAGTCTTTCAAGGTGTCTTAAAGCACCCCCAGTTACTTCATTACGTCATTAAGAGGCTTTCTGGGGCTGGCTATTTAGAGTCACTGTTTCTTGCCCCCTCTGAAGTCAGTCCCGCCCTCCTGCTCCTGACACCCAGATTTCTAACGGTGGCTCCTTCTCTCTCACACACACATACATACTCACTCACACGCACACACACGCACTCACACACCTATTCAATTCTGCTCATTGGAAATATGAGAAAAATAAGGCCCCGTGAGCTGGAGCAGCCGGGAGGCCCCTGGTTTGAGGCCTATGCACCCCGGGCTGTGAAGGCCAGGAGTCCTGCGGCCCTGACACAGGATGACCTGTGACTCTCAGGCGTGTCATGAGAATGAGGCCGGCAGGAGTCCCCAGGCCCCGTGAACAGGGGCTGCCTGCCCTTACCCCCCGGCTCTGGCTCGCAGGGTGTGGGGGGTCTGTCACCCCTCCTCCATGACACCCCCAGCCCCTGCAGTGGTCTGCGTGGGCTCAGGGGCTGCCCTTGGCTGGATCTGGAGCCTTCCTGGAGCTCTCCTAGAAAACGGCAGTCTCTGAGAGGGAGTCGGTGGGGTGGCAGGGGCCAGCTTTGGCTGGATCAGGTTGGGACAGGTTCGATTTCCTCAGAATGCTACGTTGGGGGCCAGTGGAGCTGATACATGAATGCCCACCCTGGATGCCTGTTTTCTTTGCTTTCCCTCCTGGGTATCTTCCTGCCACCTGCTCTGGTGAGTACATCTGTCCAGCTGAGGCGGGGACAGCCCTGGGCCCACCCCACCAGCCTGTCTTCGTGGAGGTGGCTGAGAGTACGAAGCAGCAGTGGGCAGCTGGGGCCTCTGCTTTTGTCCCTTTGTCTTTTAGTCTCCATGGTTTCTCACTCTGGCTTCCTCGGTGGGAGCAGCCCAGAGCCTCTCTGGGTCTCTCTCATTTGGGGGACCCTCTGTGGAGTGTCAGATTGAGGGGTCTTATTCTAGGTCGCTCTGTGTGGTCTCAGTCTGGGGGTCCCTCTGTGACTCTTTCAGTCTGGGGGTCCCTCTGTGACTCAGTCTGGGGGTCCCTCTGTGACTG